GGGGGTGCTCCCTGCCCAGCGGGCTTTATTCACTGCAAGGCCTGTTTGGAAGGGGAGCAGGTCCTTTTATTTGCGAAGGAAGCACCATTGCTGCTCCAGAGACTGAAGTTAGTTTTGCCAATAATTTATTTCACAAAAGTTCCCTGTGGGATCTAGAATTTATAATATTTCACAATATTACAGATGTGAGTCTCACAGCCAGTAGGATTAAGGAGAAAGTTTCTCAGTAAGTCATCCAGAAATACATACATCAGACAAATGATGGATGTATTACGCGAATGTTCCAGGTAAAAGGAGATGAAAGAAAGAAAGTCCAAAGAGGGTGTATTTGCAGTTGGTGGGCTGCGGAGTCAGTCCTTCCAGCTGAAAGCTGTGTGTCAGCTGCTGGCCCAGTGACCATCTGGGACCTGCAGGCTACAGCAGGTTTTGCTCCAAGGTCCCGCTGGTGGTGTGAGCCTCACCTTGCAGAAGGCAGATCCCTGTGCTCCCAAACATCAGCCCGGTTTAGCACCCTGCACAGGGCCTGGCGCTTCCACACAGAAGCGGGTGCTTGAGATCCTCAGAGACTTTTAGATCAGTGGGGTCGCCCTGCCCAGACGCCCAGACTAGCTCCTTCAGCAAGTCCTCGTATGCTTCTGGTTAAATGTCCATCGTGTAACAGCACCACCGCCCTTACTGTGGGCCAGTGAGGTGACAGTCCTCTGTGTGGCCAGCTGAGAAGCTCTGGGTACCAGGACTATCTCAGGGACACTATCCGGCCATTTTCGTGTTGATGAGAACATCCTAATATCCTACTTTAAAAGGTTTATTGGAGCAAGTTAGGTTCAAATAACAACTTTGTCTGAAACAAGCTTTGAGAACCCACCAGTCAGTCAACAGGGGCTTTCTGCAGGCCTTGCAGCCTCAGGTACCCCAGGTGGGCAGGTCCACTGCACAAGCACCAGCACCATCTTGAGTCCCTCCCTTCTGCCTCTTTGATTATTCCATGGGGGACAGGGAGGGGACATGGAGGGGAAGGCAGCAGAAGTGGGGAGCAGTGCTGTCAGAAAATAATAGGACCGAGACTTAACCCCTTATACTACCAGGAAGGTCCCTTCTTCCGGTTCTTTAATGGTTTCATATGTAAGAATATATATGTTTCATATGTGTGTATATGTGTGTATGTGTCATATGTGACCCGTTTGAGTTAATTTTTAGCATAGTATGAAAACCAGCAGAATGTATTCCCCCCAAATATACCACTTTCTTTTATCCATCAAAAAACAAGTCCTCAAAAAGAAGGCAGAGGTCATCAATCTTATTCCTGGAAATTCTTCAACCAGGGAGGATGGACTTCTATCATGAGAAAATAAGCTAGAAGACACCATACTCAGATCAGTGACAAAATCTAGTTTTGCTATTATCTGAATCATTTTTTTTAAGATTTAGTATTTATTAAGCCAGAAAGAAAAGGAAAAATACTGATGGTTTCTCTCACAGCAAGAATATAATGGAACAATCGAGAAAATAACGATAATGATGAACAGCTATATAACAGAGACATTTTGTGGGGGTGGGATCAAAAACAGTGGGGGGGGAGGGGAATGCACTGGACTATGGTGATGGCACACAGTGATTTGGTGATGGGAAGCCCAAGGGGATTGCAACTGAGATAGAAAAATTCACAAAATGTGGTAAAAAAAAAAAACGATTATATGAAAAAAGATTTATTATTTATTTATGTATACAAGAACTGGGGTGTAAGCCAAAGGTACGCTGGGGTGAGAGGATTCAGCAGAGACAGAGTAGGGAGCAGAACGATGGGTCTACTGAAATACACTGCTGAGGGCAGCAGTGGAGAGACAGGAGAGGTCTGCTGTGCCCTGTGAGCCACCTCCTGGCCAGGGATTGACCTCAAGCCATCTTGGCTGGTGATAGCTTGGTAGTACTGAGACTTAACACATGCACCACCACGGGGTCCCCAAATCCTATTTCTGTCATATCTGACCCTAAAATTTCAGGGAGCAATAAAAATGCCAAAGTGTGTTTGTTTTGGATAAAAGAAATGCCATTTGGAGTATATCAATTCAGTTAGAAAACGTAATGTGCTTCAAGAGTATAGCATCTTATGTGGGTTCAAGAGTTTAATATGTCTTTAGTTTCACGTTGTGCAGTAGGTTGGAGATGGGCCACCTCTCACCAGGGCATGTGCCACCCTGGTGCCTGCTCCTGGTGTGGGTGACAGCCCTGACATGCCTGCTCCACATCTAGAACCATCTTGAGCTGACATCACAGAGCCAGTGTGAGCATCACCAACTCACAGTGGTATCCTAGGGCCAGAACCCAGATATCCAGGCCTGGGAGCAGCTGCAGGCTCAGAACACCCCTTATTGCTCTGGGAACTTAGGAGTGAAGGGGCGCCATGGTCGGAAAGCTGCCTTGGGTGGTGGGCAGAGGCCTCTGGGTGCAGGCAAGTCAGAGACCTCCGCTGGGCCACGTGGGTCAGCTCCCTGGGCAGGGATGGAGTTTGTGCTGCAGTGGGTGCGGGTAACTGGGTAACTTCCTTCGTAGTGCTGCATGTTAACCCCTTGTGCCACCAGGGAGGCCCTTTCTTCGGATTTTGAAAGAGCCCCCAGGAACTTGGGCTGAGAGATGGCAGTCCCCTCCCGACAATGGGTGGCTGCCAGGAAGCTCAGGACAGGCCTGCTCTGCCCTGCTAGTCTCCAGAGCTCTGCTGAGATGTGTAATCTTTCCTTTTTCTGCCAATTGAATTATATCCTTGTATTGTAATATAGATTATTCCTATCCCCACCCACCCCATTCAATTCATATTATGGTTATATGCCTTTGGTTCCCATTCTAAGTAAAAGCCTGGTCCTTCCTGGTAGTGCAAGTGGTTAAGTAGCAGCACTATGAAGCTGTCCACAGCCACTGCAGCATGAGTTCAATTCCCAGCCAGGGAGCTGACCCACATGGCACAGCAGACCTCTTCTGTCTGGCTAGCTGCTCCCCTCAGCAGTGTATTTTAGTCAATCCACCTGTTCTGTTTCCCACTCTGTCTCTAGTGAATCCTCTAACCCCCTCCCCCCAGTTCTTGTATGCATAAATAAATAAATCTTTTCTTTTTTTAATTAGGAAATGGGAACTCTTTTTTTTTTAAAGATTTATTTATTTATTCATATATAGGTACAGGCCAGAGATGCGGAGGGTGAGAGTATTCACCAGTGACAGAACAGGGAGCAGAACTGGCAGATCGACGAAGTACACTGCTGAGGGGAGCATTGGGCGGTCAGGAGAGGTCTGCTTTGCCATGTGGATCTCCTCTGGGGCAAGCATGGATCTAACTCATGCCGAAGTGGCTTAAGCTTCTTAGTACTGTGCTTTAACCTGCTGTGCCTCCTGGGAGGGCCCTAAATAAATAAATCTTAAAAAAAAAAAAAAAGCCTTCTGCTTCATTGAACTTAGTGCTCTGGAGATCCTGAAACTATTAAAACACCAAGCCTGGGGCTAAGACTTAAGTCTCAAATGGCACCTCAGTACCCATGAGCACATAAAGAGCACCAGGAAAGGTAACTGCATAAGCATGAAAGATGGTGCCAATGTGCTTTTCTTTGTAAAAGAAAAAGTTTGTAGAAGTTATTTCCTGATTTCCTTTATGTCTAATTGACATACATTACAAGAACTGCATTGTAATCTAGT